GTAGAGTATATCATAGTATAGTATGCACTGGGGGTTCATGGGTTTGGGGTCGTTCAGATTTTGGCTGCTGGGTCTTGGTGTGTTACTCTAGAGTTTTTGGGCGTTGGGTGTTAAGCATGTTTAGGGTGTAGACTTGTCCGTGCTGGCTGCAGAATTCCAGAGGTTTGGGGTCGTCGAGGCTAGACGCTGCGACGGCCCCTTGCGCAAACTCCTGCAAACGCTGTGAGATGACACCGGGTGGGATCTGACCGACCGGATGGCCGCTCAAGGATTGCTAAGATGTAGTGATAGTGTGAATGAGTGCATGAGCTCCCGGCCAATGTTTGAAGATTCTGGACCAAGGTCGCAAACAGGTAGGTCCTGGCAATCAACCACAAGAAGCCAGACCCCGCTCTACGATCATCCTGCCTCTCCAGGTGCTCCAGCAGTCGCCCGGGTGTCGAGACCTGAACGTAGTATTTTATAATATGCTATTATATATACTGTTATAATATACTACAATATAATATAATGAATTACTACAATATACTATAGTTTTTAACATTATAGTATATCGTAGTAACTCATTATTTCGTACTAAGCCAAGCACATCCGTGCAAGCCTTGCTGGCTCGCTGCTACTCTCTGTCCGAGCTCCAGGCAAGAACTCGAGGCTTGACTCGCCTCAACGACACCTCTCAGCTGTCCAGCACGTCGTAGGAAGCGGCTTGCGTGGGGAGTGGGGCCTGCCTGGTCATGCCTTGTGCTGGTGCCGCCGATCATGGTCATCAACGAAATGTCATGCGGTGACAGGAGCGTCTCCGCCTCACGGGCACGGTTCATCAAAAAACCACCCAGTAGTCCCGTGCCGCCTCACGCCCAATCTGCAACGCCAGCTCTCTTGTTGGAGACACCACCAGGATGGCAACCTCCAGTGCGGGTTGCAAGAGTGTCGCAAGGATCAAGCCGCAAGGGGCTACCCACCCGCCAGAGGTTGAGCAAGGTTGAATGACAGGCCCAAGCGTTCGAATCATTCTGAACGCTCCCGTCCCCTGGGAGCCGCGCGCCCTGCCCTTCTGGTTCGGCCGCCAGCTTCTGAAAGGCAGGATCTGTTCAAGTTCTGGGCTGTGATTTTTGCCTTCCTGATATTAAACTTTGCGCTCCATGGCTTCTTTGTCCACATCCGGTTCCTTCATTATCCGGCTGCTCCTATTCATTCGGCCTCGATGGCCGGGATGAGAAAGGCAAGTGTCTTGCCAGTGCCTGTATGCCTTGTCTGATCTGCGGATATCTGCGGTGCAGACTTCGAGAATCTGACCTAGGCCTAGGCAACTGAGGACTGGGCGCTCGGACAACAAGGTCGAAATTCTTGACCAGGGCCATGGGCAGCACCTCTCTAAGTCAGAGATTCTGATAAGTGGGTGCTACTTAGGGGGTATAAGTAATTACAAGTATAGTTACCTTATGTATGACCATAGTTACTAGGTCCCATGAACCCCTGAGTAGCGCAGGATCTTGCACCATGGACTGGGCACTGGAGGAAAGACACTGTCTGCTGTGGTGCGGAGTCATCACATGAAAATGATTTGCTACAGTCCTGGCTTGTACAGCCGGTCATGATAGGCACATGACTGGATGCTTGGCCGTGAAACACAAGTACGCCAATGGATCGCAGCCAGCTACTCAAATCTACTCAACTTGCTGGCTCACCTTAGACTGATGAGTTCGGGGGGAACATAGTGCCGCCTGCGCCTGCACCTGGGAAAGCTCCTGGTAGCCAAAGCCTTCACGCCTGAGGGCCAACTAGTTGGCGACAGGAAACGAAATACACTGTCTTGTGGCGCGGTACTTTGGTTCTGACAATTCAGAGCTTGCATCCAACGGGGCGCTGACGGCAGCGAAACCGACCGCGAAAACACCCCCATAATGATTACAATCGTCTTCAGCTTAAGCGTCATAAAGAGTCGTCGGCATCGTCCTCTTCCTCATATCATCAAGAATGTAACCTGCTGGAAAAGCACCAGTAGCAGCAGCAGCACCACCACCAACAACAACAACAACGCCATCGTCGTCACAACCAGTAACGGCAATGGCAACCTGCTCTTCTTCGTAGTAACCGTAGCCATCATCATGATCAATATTATCATCGTTGCTTGCACTTTAACATCAACAGTAACATCATCAGGAAACATAACAGGAACAATAACAACCACCACAAGCTCGTCATCGTTGTGATCCAGTTTCGTTGAGTCGAGTAAGCACCTCTTATCATTGATCGCTTTCGCCGGCAGCCTTGAGTTGCCCTGTGAATCGATTAGTCGGTATCTAAACTCGCAGTTGTGAGTTGAGTTGAGGGAAGGTTTAGGAGGATGTGAAAGGTGTGAATCCGGAGCTCTGTTTCGTTGAAGCTGTTCGATGATGGCGCTGATGACATGCATCTGCAGAGGCTGGTAGTGGTAGCGGTGGAGAGGGCTCTTCTTAAACGCTCCCAAGGCTTGCGCAGGGCCGTCTGAGTTTCTGCGGACAGCTCCAGGTCTGCAAACTTGCTTGGCGACTCCTGGCAGCTGCATGACTCAGTATGATTTTAAAACAACAGAGAGCGACCGAATACACCAAGACTGCGACTTTTGAAAGAAGCAGACAGTGCCACTACAAACGAAGCAATGATGCTAGCAGCAAAAAGCTCGCATGTCAACTGGCCAAGACGACGAATTGAACTGGAGACCTCCCCACCTCAGCATTGCCTAAACAAGAGCACTTCTGCCTCTGGCCGCGGTTCTGGCGTCGGGGCCCGTGGCCCCCCTTGTCATAGGATGTCATGGGAGAATTGGTTTATGTAGGGGTGCTTAGCAGGCGCACCTGTCTGACGTCCAGCCCGCGTGCGCGCACATCTTGACCTCGTGCTTCGCTCGCGGGCACGGAGTCCACACCACATCGAGAGACAGGTGAGCCCGAGGCGAAGGCTGCAAGCCATGCCACGGAGCATATGCGCGTAGAAGTATCTCCGAGAATCGCGAGCCTGCGTGCTGCTCACATGGCCACACAGAGTCTCTGCGGCTGCAGGGTTCCCAGACCGCCCATGCAGCTGGTCAACAGCCATACAACCCCCTTTAGCCAAGAACTGACTCTATTGGTCCAACTCATGAAGTCATGAAGCGATGATTCTTTTCAAGCACTAGGCATTAGGGCTCCCAATGCACTGCTCCCATCCTCTCGAAGCGAAGCACTGCTTCCAGCAAACCTGGGATTGACTGCACGAAGTGCTGAGAACGCTCCCGATGCATCAAAAGGCATGCGAACTGCAGCCATGTGAAGGCCTGGCATGCATCGTCAGGCATATCAGTATTGCTATACCATTATTATTGGCAATCGTCGTGGCAGCCGCGCGGTAGGAGCAGCAGCCAGACAGCGGCAGCAGCAGCAGCAGCAGCAGCAGAAGCACTAGGGGTAGCGGTAGAAGCAGTAGTAGTAGTCGTGGTCGTCGCCGCAGTGGCCGTAGTCGTAGTGGTAGTCGCAGTCGCAGTAGTAGTCGTAGTGGTCGTCATCGTAGTGGTCGTGGTCGTCGCCGTGGTCGTCGTCGTCGTCGTCGTCGTCGTAGTAGTAGTAGTAGTGGTAGTAGTGGTAGTAGTAGTGGTTGTAGTAGTGGT